GTCACCATTTATTTACATATAACTATTACCACTATTTTATAACCATTGTCAATAAATTAATCTGTTGTAATAAAATTTTCCTTTCGAAATAGTTTACTAAGTAGTTAATAGATCATCGTTTCATAGATAATGAACATGTTATTTAAAATGCTCATCAGTACTCTATGTTCTAATCTCCTAACATTTTATTGTGTGCAAAATAAATGTTTAGATGTGTAGGTTTAAAAGAGATTAAGTTTCAACTGTTTCTTACTTCAATCAACATTCCAACAACTTTAGTTTTTTAAAAGATTTTACTTTATTTTTTATAATTCAAGCACACTAAGAATTTTACAATAAGTAAACCACTTACACCGTAACAAACAGCCACTTCTAAATTCGCCCATTATATTTGTTTAACAAGTGTTCAACTGGAAATAAATGACCTTATAACATTAAATTTGGTTATTATTGTTTTGTAATATTTAACTTGAATCTCCACAGCTCCTTCAGGAACCTTTCACTGTAATACATAATTTAACTGGCAGAACAAATAAATATTATATATACATGACCATTATAAGAGCATTTCTTTGGTGTGCTGACGAGCTTTGAATAGACGAGACAGCAGAGGGTATGGCCAATCATAGAATGCATTACGCCTATAATGATATTTTCACGCTTACTTTCCTTGTAAAAGTACTCTGTAATATAATCAATGATTCGATTGGTTTATGTGCATTCTAAGATTTTTTTTACCACAGGTTTCGACTGCTTGGGTTTCATATCATACATAGTAAAGTTAAGTTTATTGCTGAAAACTTATATTGCTTTGTATAATAACAAATGTTCAAGGTTTATGACGTATTACTTGTGCACATTTTCAAAACAAGTGCTCTGTATGTATGACTCCAAGATAAACACTGGTCCCGATCCTTGGCTTGGATAAATTGATGACGTTTGTTTGTTTTGAATTTCGCGCAAAGCTACACGAGGGCTATCTGCGCTAGCCGTCCCTAATTTAGCAGTGTAAGACTAGAGGGAAGGCAGCTAGTCATCACCACCCACCGCCAACTCTTGGGCCACTCTTTTACTAACGAATAACGCCCCCACGGCTGAAAGGGCGAGCATATTTGGTGTAACGGGGATTCAAACCCGCGACCCTCAGATTGCGAGTCGAGTGCCGTAACCACCTGGCCATGCCGGGCACTAAGCCACTAATAGAGGCTGCTTATTAAGAAGTAACGTATTCGTTTTTGAAAATACCTTTTGGTAAGAGAATTATATAAGTGAGAATCTTTAGTTAACATATAAAGTGAAATATTTGAGTGTTATAAACTAAGAAATACAAGTATAACCTTTTTGGTGATAAATGTAGGAAAGGTCAACTGTTTGGCGTCCAATTTGGGAAGTCGAACAGATTCTTCAAGAAGAAAAAGTTATAAAGGAGGTGAGTAGATACAAGACGGTAGAACACCTGTAAATTAAGATTTGATATACTTTATTATATACTTCCTACAATTGTATCATACTTTTTAGGAGTGGTTGTTGTTGTTTGTAATTAAGCACAAAGCTACACAATAGGCTATCTGTGTTCTGCCCACCACGGGTATCGATTGTAAGTTCGCAGACGTATCGCTGTGCCACTGGGGGGGGGGGGGGGCTTTCAGGATTGGAGAGATGGTCTTGTTAAATTTAAGCCTTCCCATGAGTTTTGCCACAAACTCTCAAATCTGTAGGATTGTATAAACTAGTGGGATATGAAACCAATATGCAGAAGATTGCCCTCCCAGATTTCTTAGAAAAATAGTCTGAAAAAAGGTTGAGGCCCGAAATATAATAATCCTAATACTAATGTCTTATGACAAATACAATTGCTACAAATATTATTGATATTTAAATGAGGGCCTGGTCTGGCCAGGTGGTTAGGGCACTCGACTCGCAATCTGCGGGTAGCGGGTTCGAATCCCCGTCACATCAAACATGCTTGCCCTTTCAGCCGTGGGGGCGTTATAATGTGACGATCAATTCCACTATTCGTTGGCAAAAGAGTAGCCCAAGAGTTGGCGGTGGGTGGTGATGACTAGCTGCCTTTCCTCTAGTCTTACA